GTTCACTCCAGGACATGCTTTTTCATTTTTTGCAGTTTGTATAGGTTGAGAATTTTCTGAACCTTTAATTCCTGATCCCTTTTTGCTTAAAAATTCCTTCTTTAATTCTTCTCTTTCCTCTTGCATTTTACTGTAATCAGTAAGGAGAAACCAGGCTGTACCTTTGACACTTCCTTACTAATTTCCTCTGCTAAATATCCAAGGTTGTTACTTAAAAATTTTGCCTTCCACTAAACATTAGAACACAATGTAGTCAATTTCTTTGCCACTTTATAACAAGGACCACCTTTCCTCCAGTTTCTAATAACAGTTCTCATTTTCATAGGAGACTGCACCAGAATCACCTTTAACATTCACATTTCTGGGCCGGCCTGTGGCTCACTCGGGAGGGTGCGGTGCTGATAACACCAAGGCCACGGGTTTGGATCCTATATAGTGATGACTGGTTAGCTCACTGGCTGAGCATGGTGCTGACAACATTCACATTTCTACCAACGGTCCTTTGAAGGCAATCTGTGCATTTTCTAACATGTACCTCAAAACTCTTCCAGCTGCTACAGTTCCAGTTCCAAAGCACTTCTACATTTTTACCTATTTGGTACAGCAGCACATTCATGGTGCAAATCTGTATTATTGCGGGTTCTCCAGGGAAACAAAACCAATAGTCTGTTTATATATGTAGAGGAGATTCATTAAAAGAAATGGGCTCATGTGAATATGGAGTCTGGTGAGTCCAAAACCTGCAGTGTGGTCTGGCAGCCTGGAGACCCCAGAGAGCGGATGGTGCAGGTGAAGCCCTGAGGCCATCTGCTGGAGAACTGCTCAGGGAGGTTGGTCTTTCTGTTCTGTTCAGGCCTTCAGCAGATTGGATGAGGCCCGCCTACATTATGGAGGACCATACGATTACTGAAAGTTCATTGATTTAAGTGTTAATATCATCCACAAACTCACTCCAAGGTGACACATAAAATTAACCATCACAGGAGGTAATGATAATGGGAAAGGGGACTGCACAATAAAGTCAGAAAGGTCTGAGTGAAAGTGGTACCCAAATAAAGTAGAAAGCACAGGTGGATGTGTGAGGACGTGCAAGATTTCAGGCCCTTGCTCTCAGAAAGATTGTAGTGCCATTCCTACCCAGGGTGGGCAACACTGCGCTTACTGAGGGCCGTTGCTCAGAATGTCATTCTCAATCTTGGCTACACATGGAGTCATCTGAATTCTGGGGGTGACATCAGGCATCAGTATTTTTTTTCTTTTCT